TGTGGTTGTAAGTGTACATGTAGCACAGGGTGCAAAGGAAGTCAGTTTACAGCCTCGCCATTAAGACAAGCTGTAGTTAGCATGTACTTTATAGCCCAAGAGTCATTTTAACTAGTCCCCCCCAAAAAAATTGATGAGCAGGATTGATTACAGTTCTTCAGACTCTGTAATTTGTATTCCCCAAAAACTTCACTTGCCTATTGGGCGAGTTAAGAACAGAATTCACAAGCCTGCTGATAGCAAAATCTACTAGCCCTAGGCTATCAGACACGATTTTCTTTGCCTGCTGGTAGCATTTTTTTTGTGTGCAAGTATAATCTTTTAAAATGGAGATATTTTTATTTTTTTTTTAACGGGGTGGAGTTATCTTTTTTAGGTTTTGATTGGCATTACTTCATCAGGGAAACCTTTGCGTGGATTTACACCTAAAGAGCTTCTTCCAGCAGAATGTCTTTCCTCTCTTGTGGGCATGCTAAATGAGAGTAATGTGAAACAAAGTCTGCATACAAAGGCGATGGTTCTACTCTTTAATCTTGGTGAGCTGATATTTATTTGGAAAAAACTTCTGTTGTTTCCTATGGGAGAATAATCTTACCATAATCCTCTAAAGTGCTGGTATGCCATTCTGTTATTATTGTAACAGCCTCATTGATTTTGGTGTGGCTAGTTGGTCTGGCCCCAGTTGTTCAAAAGATGGATAGTGTGGGTAAGTATTAGGAAAACTAATTGCGCTATCCAGTGGATAGAGATTTTTCCAATGGATAGCGCTATCCACCTTTGAACAACCGGGGCCTGGTTCTGATGTCTATTTCTTCCTGACCTTGAGTCAGTTTATTATTGAATGGAATGGTTCAGCATTTGCCACTGACTCTCCTACATTAATGTATTAAACTATTTTTAGCCAATGATGCAGAAACAAGAGAGGTTCTTCACACTACATATCATTTGACATCCACCCTTGCAGCCATACTTCACAGACATCATCTTGCATCAAATGAAAAAATGATATTTCAGGTGTGTTATACAGTGAATACATTAATAGGTTCTTTGTACTGGTTGTAGTAAATAGTATGTGATTCAGATAGTAGCTCATTGTCAGTTATTTAAATGTGTAATTTAGGTAAGACAAAGATAGTACTTTGACTCGTCAGGGTTTGAAAAATGCTTGAATTTCAACTTGTACTTTCACCAGCTGCTCTCACATTTTGCGTGCCCAGGGCCATTGCTAGTGCTTGCTTGTCTTAACTGATGATTTTGTTACCAGGTGACTTGTCTGGATTATTGCTTATTGGAAAAGTGAGGCTAAAGGTTTACTTGCCCAGCAAGAATATCCACTTATCCTGGGGGGACCAGATATAACTTTTTTTAAACCCTGCTTGAATTGAAATTGTACCCCATTATACTAAAAATAATTCTTTGCTAGTAGTTAAAATTTAATGTGTTAAACTAGTCAGTGATACCAGTACATGTATATGTAATCTCTTTTCTCTTTTTCTGCCTTTGTTATTTTTGTTATCACTTCTATGTAAACATTTTGGAACTGTTGTTAGTAATAATAAGCATTGATAAAGGAAACTAAAATTAATATTTATATTATCATTCCTTATTTTGTTACCAATAGTGTCTGAAACTTCTTGAGAGAGTGACATATGGCTGTAAGATTACAACTCCCAGTGGATACGTTGAAGAGTTGATCAGATACTTAGTAACAAACATGTGAGTATTGGTCCTTAGTACAATGTCACTGTGGCTGAACTGAGCACTTTTCAGACCAGTGAGAAGAGGTAGTATTATTTTTTGCTTAAGTCCTACCATGAGAGCCAAAAATTTCTTTCTAAAATGTAAGGGTATACATGTACAATAATGTCATTGAGAACAATATTTAAGTGTCGAGTTACAAGTGGGAAAAGTGCTACCAATGATATTTTACTTTAATGGTTTCATAGTAACATTTCAGTCAATCAATCAATAAGTCAATCAATGAGTCATTCAATCATTCACTTTCATCAATTAATAATTGTTCAATCAATACCTTTGGTCATATTTATCAGTCCAATATTTTTATTGTTGGGGACATTTTTATCCAATAGGTTCAAAGTTACAGTAAATATTGATGAACTGTAGTCCAGGGCCCGGTTGCAGAAAACCTGCACTTAAGTGCTCACTTAAGTAGGTCACTTACGAATCCGCTATGGGTTCACTTACGGGTGTTGCATGGAACACACTTAGCACTCTCGTAAGTTTCTGTTTTACGTGGTAACTTACGGGCTCACTTAAGGGCACACGTAACCTTGATATAGTACTTTATTAACGATTCACTCTTTTTTTTTAAGCTAACCATCGGTGAGTGTAAAGAAAGTAAAATTCGTTTCCAACACTTTTAAGCCTCTCAAAAAATGAAATTTGCATGCAAACGTTATTTTTCTTCAATATCTACTGAAAATGATAGTTCTTCTTCTTTTTTCACAAAAGTGTACATCAGAGGTTAACAAAGTGCATTAGAACGAATTACGTGAAGAAAAATACTTTTTTTCACTTCTCAGTAAAAGATCTCGTTAAATTTAGTAAAAACAGTGACGATACGGAACCTATATAGGTCCCGTAAATTTACGTTCTATTTTTCCCGTAAAAAAAGTTTTATGCAACACCCGCAATTTCTGTTGCATAAACGACATTTAAGTGAACACTTACGAAAATCGTAAGTGCAACCACTTAAGTGAATTCCCCAAGTGGACCACTTAAGTGATTTCATGCAACTGACTTAAGTTACGAGTGCACGTACGTGTACCCGTAGTTGTTACTGACGTTTTATGCAACCGGGCCCAGGCCCTGGTTGTTCAAACATTGGATAGTCCTATCTACCGAATAAATCACTAACCAGGGGATTAGTATTAGGAAAACCAATTTTGTTATCCACTGAATAGAGATTTATCCGGTAGATAGTGCTATCCAGTGTTTGAACAACCGGGGCCTATATTGTACATGACAATTTCTCTATAATAAAGTCCAAGCACAGATCTAAAGAAAATGACTGTTTTCCAAATACTGTTTGTGAGCCAAAGGTGTATACATCTAGGAGATTATGATCATGTATGCTAGGATACTCTGAATTCAAACAGTTTTGACTTCTTTTCTTCCAACTACAGACAGTTGCCTGAATCAGATTTAACTGTACCATGCCTCGGCCTTTTGACAAACCTCTGTCGACATAATTTACCAATACAGGCACACATCAAGGCTCTGGTAAGTGCTTACTTGAAGAATTGTACTGGATGCAAAGAGAGTCGGTTTTACAGCTTGGCTTTTGGGCAAGCATGTACTAGCCCAGGAGTCATACTTTTTGCACGCCAGCTCATACCGCGAAAATGTAGCCTCTGCTCGCAGGGTATTTATCTAGCCCACAATTCTTTTTTTTTGATAAGCAGAATTCATTACAGTTCCCTCAAAAAACTTCACTTGCCTGTCAGGCAAGTTAAGAACGGAATCCACTAGTTTGGTAGCAAAATTTACTAGCTAGCCCTGGGCTATCGGACACACCTAATCTTTGCATGCTGTTTTGATGCATCTAATTAATTCCTTCTCTCTTATTCATCCCTTAGTCAGTTTCAGAATTCAGGAAAAAGAGAACTACATGTACATGTACATGTAGCTTTATACTTTTGTTTCTTTTCATCAAACTTGTGATTGAATTTTTTTTCTTATTGTCGGTTCTGAAAACTACTACCACATTGTACTCCCCTTATACAGCTGTAATAGTTGGTTTTCTAATTACTACCAGTTAAATCCTGTTGTTAATTGTAGTTGTTACTATTTATTGCATTCCAAAGTGTATCAACATCTAACTTTATAAGTGTTTGAACAACAGCCATTTCAGTCTGAGCCCAAATTAGAGCTTTAGATTTGAAAAAAACCTAAATTAGAGCATAATGAAAATAATATTTTGCTGTCATTGTTATTACCATTATCATTATTATCATTTTAATTCATTTAACCACAGGTATACCTTATCTCACTAGTACTGTGCCATTTAGTATTTATAAATATCATTATTGATTGTTATTAGCTTTCTCCTGATTGGTCACCTTCTTTACATTGCAGGAGAACATCAAATCACTATATCGGACATTGATAGCCTTTCTTTCTCACAGTAACCTCACAGTGATTGTTTTTTCATTGTCTATTTTGACAAGCCTCTCACTCCATGAACAGCTAGGAGAGAAGGTATTGCACATCAATTCATTGGTTACTCAGTAACTTGCTTTGTTATACAATTTAGAGAGTTATTTTCTAGAACTAATAAAATATTTCTCACAGCGGCAAGTTTATAATTTTGTCAGAATTTGCAACACACGTTACTCCCACGAGAATCTCAGGCGAGGTGGTTTGTCTATGTGCTCCAAGTCTATCGGGTTTGGTTGGTGTCCACCATGACATCATCCAGAGGCACATAAAGGTGCTTTGTGGGTTTTCTAGGCAACCGATTTTGGGGCCTCGCTCGTGAATCCCACAAGGCTTGCTTAGCAAAGTGATGTGTGATTTGCTTTGGTCATATTTCTAATGGTTTGGTTTTTTCAGTCGCCATTTCAGGAGTCGATAAGTGCTTTTTTGCAATGAATTTGGAAGGCAAAAGTACTTTTAAGAGAAAATGGAAGGAATTTGGATCATTAGCCTTATTAATAAAGATAATTATGAGCGAAAATCGAAATCACATGTTTTGTGTCCCACTTTGTAGAGGAGTTTATACCATATCAGCTTAGTTGGGCATCTGTTCTTTAAATGTGATGAAATGGGTTTAAGTTGCTTTTTTTTATCACACAGTTCTTGTATGTTCCCACGTGGTGTAGTGGCAATGAAATGGCCCAGCCTGTAGGAGGTCCTGGGTTCAATTCTGGGCAGAAATTAGTTTTCTTTCACTCTTCTTTTCTTGTTTTTCCTTTTCATGTAGTAGTTTTTTAGTTATTGTAGTTTGTTTTGCTTCTGTATTATAGCATAAGTTTTTTTAAAATTTATTAATTTTCTTCCCTATTGCCTTGTTTCCCTTTCTTCCTACTTTTTGCTGTTCCCCTGAAATTGCTTCGTGAGGTCACAGACTGTGATCTAAGTATTTCTAGTATAAGTTTTCTGTTTTGAAGAAGTTTAATAACCCATTAGAATAAATTTGAATGTTCAAACACGTGATTGCAATACTGCAAAGAAAAATATGTAAAGTCATGTGTTATCTGAAATGTTTCAAGACTTTCCTCTAAGAAAAAATGAAGGAAAGTCCAGTTTGGGCCTCATGTGTAATCCAGGGTCACAGGGTTTGCAGTATAAGATTTCTGTATCAAAGAAGCTAAGATTTCCTAGTCACCCATGAGCAACAGTAAGGTACCAGGGGTTACCAGGCCCTACTAGAACATAGCCCTCTGTTTTTTCTTTTCCAAGTTCCCCAATCTTGATTGGTTTTGTGCTCTGACAGCAGCCAGTGGCCTCTGACATCTTTATTACTTTTACGTATTATACAATGCAGGGAACGAAGAAATGCCACTTTTTTAAACAGAAACCTTAATGCTAAAAATTACATTATTCACATACTGTTGATTTTTGTTTGGGAAATCCAGATAAGGTTTTTAATTTCTCAGTTGAACTTCAAACCAAAAGCACTTGAGTTTCACCAAATAAAATTCCTTCTGTAATGTGGTTTCAGTTACCTTAGCAGAAACTCCCTTAATGTTTATCAGACAGGTGCACCTGATGCATGTTCGCTTGAACAAACACAACAATGCATTTATTTTTCTTTGCTTGACTATGCTGATAGTGTTGTTGTTTCCTTTGACCAGCTTTTCAATGCAAAGAATATCCATCAGACCTTTCAACTTGTGTTCACCTTTCTAATTAATGGAGAGGGTCCCACAACAAGGCGCTCTTCAGTGGACTTGTTTGTTGACTTACTTGCTAGTCCCAAAATTCAGCAGTCTCTCCTAATGTAAGTATCCTTATAAAGGTGATGTTACACGGGAGGATTCGAAACAACTTTTTAGGCAACACAGTGTAGCAATGTTGGAACAATGTTGCAACCACTTGAAACGTGTCACAACAATGTTGAAATGATGTGTTGAGTTAAAAATTGTCCCATGTAACATCACCTTAACACGGGGCTATCACTAGGGGCTGGGGATTCCCTCAGCTACTATGAGTGTGACCCCTGCCTACTTTCATAGGGAAAAAATAGAACAAGTCCAATTCCCTGCATACTAAATAAATAAAATATACTCGGAAACTTGAAAGTTTAGCAACAGCCGGCCTGTTAACAACATAAAACATGTAAGTATTTTTTAATGCCCTGTTTTCTATCTTATGTGCCAGGGTTGCTATAACAAGTTTGGGAAAGACAAAACTCTGTTAAGAATTAGAGAAAGTCAAGTAAACTTAAGCTCCTGGCAAAGTCAGTGAAAATGAAGAAATTATTTAATTTCCACAGATTTAGATTGCCGCAGGGTTTCATTGAGAACATTTACATTTTACAGAAGGTCATTTAAGAATACAAATTAGCAAAAATTGTTTAACACAGTGCTTTGATGTCGCCGTGACATCATTATTAAGTGATAAGATAAAAAAACTGACATCTGTCTTACATGTAATATTACAGTTGGAAGTGACAAAATTTTACTAGAGAACAAAAGTAACATGGCATTGTTTTGAAGTCAGATTTTAAATTTCTTTATCTTTGTTATCTCNTGACATCATTATTAAGTGATAAGATAAAAAAACTGACATCTGTCTTACATGTAATATTACAGTTGGAAGTGACAAAATTTTACTAGAGAACAAAAGTAACATGGCATTGTTTTGAAGTCAGATTTTAAATTTCTTTATCTTTGTTATCTCTTGATAATGATGTCATTGTGACATCAAAGCGCTTTCGGTAATTTTCATTCTTTAAGATTGGGATTGTTTTTTTCTCCTTTCAGACATGAACATTTGCCATTTTATTTGGAGCAGATTCTGGCATTACTTCATTTAAACGAAGCTGAAGAAACTGCCAAGGTGAACTTCTGTCTCCTTCCAGGTGTAGAAATAGGTAGTCGGTACTGGTAACATAATAGGGACCTTGAGATGCAAGGATGGTGACAGTGGGGAAAGCATTGCTTGAAAATTGAATTTGTTTTTTTTTTTCAATCTTGATCACGATTATTCCTACTACTACTTTGTCAAATGTACACGTAGGCAAACTCTCCTAGAATTGAATTCCCAAGAACTATATCCAAGTTCAGAAGGTGAACATTACTTGTTTATATCCTCTATAAAATGTGAAATTAGGCATTTTCACTTGGTAGTTGTGCAGTGATGGCAAAAAAAGTACAGAAAGTGTTATCCACGTACAAAGTTGCTGTTTTGCTTGTTATACCTACTCCTTTTTGGACGTTCTGATTGTTGTCACTCCCCTCGGATCTTGGGGTCCCTTTTTAACTGCTGGGGTTGTGTATAACCCTGTGAAGACGAGCATCCCATCCAGGGGTGAGTGGCAATACCCCTAGGTGCTTCATGCTATTAAAACTGGGTCAAGCTGTGGCTGCTCAAATCTTCTTGGCTTGTGCATTCCTTAAACTTTCATGCATTTTTTTTCTTCAGGTGTTTGAGTTGCTTTTGACATTCTGTTCTGTGACTGGTTTGAGGAATCTTGTTTGCAAAGCGTTGTTCTCAACTGTGAGCTCTAGACCAAAGGACCCAAAGATAAACAGTGCATATGATGTTGTTTTATACTGGGCCAGTCAGTCAGTTGACATTCACTCAACTGTGTCACTCAAGGCTCTTGATTTTATCAAGGAAATGTATGAGGTGAGAATGAGATTTCATCTCCTATAAATCAAATAACAGGCGTACATGTACCCTTAAAAAAGGCATGGAGTTCATTGTTTTCATGTGCTACCCAGACCTTAAGGGGACAGCAGCAATTATGTTAACTGTGGAGAAAACCTTCATTGTCCTTATTCTGATGTTAATTGGTTAATTTTTTTTTTGGAATCGACTTCTAAAGTAGCCCGAATTTCATCCGATTACTTCGAGTCGTTATTACTCCCTGTGAGGAGAAAACGACTCAAAGCAATCGGATGAATTTCAGGCTACTTCTAAAGGGCTGTATTTAAGGTTTTTAAAAATATCTAAAAAATCGTTTCATTGAGTTCATTTCCTCCTCAAAATGTGAAATAGAACAATTCACATCGTCTTTGTACAACAACAGCAGAGAAATGTACAAGCAAGTGCGGTGCAGGTGCAGAGTTGTTGTCTTTGCTAATTTTAACCTATTGTTTGCTGTTCTCATTGCTGTTGTTGTCGTTGCTTGTGCTCCCTACATGTATTTAGGAGTGTTTTAAGGAAGTGAGGTGCAGCATATATATATTATTTCTTGTTTTATTTGTTTGTTTTCCAGGAACTTGTTGATGGTGGCCTTCTTGAACAATTATCACCACGGACATCATATCTAATCCCTGTGCTGACGCAACTGCTGATACCACCTACAGAAATTGATGGCACTATACTGAAACAGAAATGTGCACAGATCAACAAGGCCTTGGAAGTTCTTAGTGATATCCTTTTAAGTCAGAATAGGGGCATACTGTAGGCCTGTATAGTGCAGCTATGTAACAAAAGTGCTTTCATGACAAAACAGGTTATAGCTTATTTAGGTTCAGTATACAATGCTGTAACAATGAGTTGCACCACAGGAAAGCAGCATTTGCTGGGCTAAAGTAAATGTTAGTGAAAAAGGGTGCTGGTAGGCCTGCATGAGACTGCTCTGGGCCATCAAACTTCACTAACAGCTTGTGTGAAGGTCAAGTGATTTTTTTAATCTTCATCTTGCCCTGTTTGTAAACTTTAAAAAGGAGTATTTGATGATAAGCATCACAAGTGTCTAAACATGGTATAAAACGGAAGAAATCAACAGAAAAAAAGACCTGGTATCGTTTATCACAATCAGCTCACCACAGTTTGATTAAAAGCTGTTACTGTTTTGACATGACATCAGATGGTTCATTCAGCAAGTGGATATTCAATGTTCAGAAAGTATTTTCAAAGTAACATGCATTCCAGAAGAGGCATAAATGATCCCTGATGAAGGGAGTGAGTTTCAGTTTCCGAGAATTTGCTTTAACTATGTGTTGACAAATGCCACAACGAACCTCAGCTTGCTAGGGGTGGAGAGGTTACGTTTATGCCAGAGCTGTCATTAAGTTTTTAAGCAGCCGTAGCAAATGAAGACTCACCATAACATCTCACAGCAAAATTTATATTGTCATCGTTATAAACTGTCCGGCTTTGAGCACCACAAAATAATTTTAACAGGTGTTACGGGTTACGGCCCTTAATGACAGCCCTGTTAATACTTATTATCGAGAACTGTGTCTATGTAACGGAGCACTGTATGAAAATTCTAATCTTTATGTTCTGTCCTTGACTTTTGCGACTTCTGTGTTTTGAGGATTCGCTTAAAAGTGTTGTATTAGGACAGCTGAATCTTGATTACTGGTGGAAGTTGCTGGAATATCAGTACCAACACAACAGTGTTGGAACACGCAGTTCTGTTGCAGTGTCTTGGAGGTAAGGGGTTGGTGTAAAAGAGCAGTGTTTTAAACTACACAATTATGAATTTAGAATCAGATTCAGTAAATTTTCATTGGCCGCGTGATTCTCTCTGTCAGCGAAAGTCCACATGACTTGTACATATAAAATTATCGATGTAAATGACGACCTTTTGAAACATTCTTTCGTTTGCAGCCAATCCTTAGATATTTTCTGTATTAATTATGACTTGTGCAGAATTAGCTCCTCTGCTCGACTTCAACGTGCTCTCTGATAAGAAGTTCAAGTCCCGAGTATTACAGTGTTTTTGTAAATAACCATGTGTAATTGTCTTTTTGGCTTTAGCTTGGAAGGCGTAAACGTCGTGCTTCAAATGTTGGACTTGCTCTGTAAATTGAAAAATGACGTCATGGGACTGCAGGTCTGTAGCTTTGAGCTCCCTTTACCACCATTGAACTTTGCCAAAGAGAAAATGACCAAGAAAACATCAATAACATCGAACTTTTAATGCAGACCAATTATCAGAGCCTTTTTGTTTTTGCTTTGTTTACAGGAGCGGCTTGCTGCCGCGTTGCAAGACCAGCGGTTGGTCCCCTTCTTGGCACGCTCGTTGAGTAGTGACTCACGTGACAGCGTCCAAAAGGCTCTTCGCATTCTGAGTGAGGCCACCAACTTACCTGACTTTCAGGCCATTTGGTAAGGCCCTACATGTAGTAATATTAATCCAAGTGAGACATATATTAGCAGATACGGAAGCGAAAACGGTCATTTCAGATACAGGGTTTTACTCAAACTACAGACAGTAACAGTTTTAACAAAAGAGCGAACACAATTGAAATGATTAAACCTCTTTATTTTATCCTCATAATATGCTTTATAACGAATTCATCAATTAGAAAGAGCCCTGAAAATAGGGTTATGTCATTCATAAGTAAATTAAATAAAATCGGCCGTGCCGCCAACAGTTCTGTTAGTCCTATTACACACTTACCAACACAGTCATATTCACTGTGTGATCAACACGTACGTATTGTTGTACAACGGGAATTTTTTCCCCACCAGCACGTAGTCTTATGCAGACATCTGACAATAAAACTGTTTCAGGGGCGGATCTAGGGGGAGGGTGCAGGGGGTGCGCACCCCTCCCTGAGATGACCTGCGGTTTTCTAATACAACTGGTATTCTGCAAAAAAAAAACTATGTGGTTTATTGGTGTTGAAGTAGAGCAAGAGACGAAAGTTGAGCGGGCAACATTGCAAAAGCTATGACCTAGAGATTTAGGATCATTCATTACCGTCCGCTGAGATTTACCTTCATGAATTTGTATTGTTTACAGGTTAGGAGACTTGATTGCATCTAACAACGCAGCTCGCGAGGAAGAGATGTCACTCCTTAGAAGACCCAATGATACAGAACTCAGTCCCCCGTCCTCACCTCGGCACCAGGTCTCCTTAGCCAACACCAAGAACTCGACCAGTGTACGCCCAGTCGGCGTGAACAATGGTTCAATGAAAAGCAAAATTCCCCCCAATAACTCACAGTATGATTCAAACATCGAGTCCTTGATCGAGAAGATGAAGTCCGGTTTGGAGGTGCAGATTGTTTCTTTCTGACTGATTTTTTCTGTGACATTGTACGAAAGGGGAAGATTTAGACTGCAAAACAGTCCGTATTTTAGCGTATTCAAGAACGCGCGAGCAGTCAAACAAAAGGTCTGGGACGAGGCTTAAAACAGAGAGGCGGGTGAGGCTCGCGCGCTTCGTGCGCATAAGACTCTTACGCCACGCTTTACCGATTTCTTTACTTATTTTGAGAAAAAAAACCGACTGTTTTGCGTCTAGTTTAGATTGGGTTCCGTCACTGGCTCTCATCTTTGTGCTGGCCATACGGAGGGAAAATATAAACCGATTTAAGTACTTTCCTGAAGCCGTGATATTTCACAGAAACAACGACGGAATTGAGATAAGTGTTGGGTTTTAAGGTGAGTGGTAAACGGGACTATCCAAAAAAAAAAAAACTTTCGTAACGAGGAAGGAAACAAACAACACTTATGGGAGATTATTTTGAATCGAAATGAAGATGTGACCGTCGCAGTTTTAATCGCAATTTAGGAAATTGCAAATAATAAGTAGGGAAAAAATGGATCATTTTACGTTTCTGGGAAACTGCCCACCTACCCCTCCCCTAAACCAACATTAACACTTACCTCTTACTCAGGGCAAAATGTTGCCTTAGGGGAGGGGTAGGTGGGCAGTTTCACAGAAACGTAAAATGATCCGAAAAATTTCCGAGGTTCAACGGGATTCGAAACCATAGCCTCTGTATTAGCGCTCTAGTGCTCTACCAATTCTGCCAAAAGGACTCAGATAAATTGTATTTCGCGCTGCCTTTTTTTCTTTAGATAAAACCAGATCCACACGCTTCAGAAATTATGGATATTTACGAGGCTAAAATGGCTGCTTTAGTGGTAAGTGTTTCAACCTCTGTTAACTTCTCCTCTCTTCCTTTGATTACTTTTCTGGTAGAAATGTGTCGCAGTGTCGCAAGTATATTAATGGCGCTATTGCTTTCAACAGACAAAAGAAAGTCATCTTCAGGATCTTTTGGAAGCAAAAGCTCTTGCGTTAGCCCAGGCGGATCGTCTTATCTCTCAATACAGATGTCGGAGAGCGCAATCAGAAGCTGAGGTATGATGATATTGTTAGTATATAGTTAGACGCAGAGAACAACCAATCAGAAATAATGAATCGTATGAATGTGATCTATATTAACCAATATTCCTAGTGCAAACAACAGTACCACTCCATTAACGTCATGATCAGAGTAGAATAGAATCCTCCTAATAGTTATACTACATGCATGACAGCATATTGTTTAAAAAACACAATAATATACGGTGAGACCTTCACTCATTCTATTAATAGTCTCTCGGTAGAACGTTACCTTCCATGGTAGTTTCCAGTGTTAACAGCCTTAAAATTGTGGTTTTTTTTCAGTGTGCGAAATTGATGCAGCTCTTGCAGACGACGGAAAAGAAAGCAGAGAACCAAGCTCAACAGGTGCCATTTCCCTTATCAAAAGTGCAATAATTCTTTCAAAAGATTAACTAAAAACGCACATGCATTGTTGTCTAACAACTCCCAACATTGTTGGATGTTGTTGCGTCCCTTTGCACGTAGCTTTACGCTTACAACTGCTGCCTTAAGGTGGATTTCCACTGTCGCGTACTTTTTCCGTTCGTACGCGCGTAGATAAAATAGAGGTAATATGTGGAAGGTCGCTCGTAAACGTAAAGTTTGACCTTGCTCAACTTTCACATTAACGAATGGCCTTTCTTACATTGCCTCTATTTCATTTACGCGCGTAAATGAAATAGTGCGTTCGCACGGAAAAATGACGCAACAGTGGAAATCAACCTAGGTTGATTTTCACTCGTGCGTAAGCACGTAAAAATTACGCGATAGTAGAAATTTGCCTTTACGTTTTCCATAAACGCGAAGTTAGGCATTTTCAAGTCGTAGTTATTCTGAGACAAAGAATGTTTAGATGGCAAAATCTCCCAAAATTAGTAATGTTTTTAATCCTGGTCGTCAGCTAAATGCCGCGTCACGCGAAAGGCTGGAAATTCAAGCGTCCTCTCTCGCAAAACGGAGAAACCTTTCGAACCAAAAAATTACAGAAGAATCGATAGTTTCTTAGTTTGATTTTTGGTAACGTAACGTGAAAACCAATAATATAGTCTAGAAAAGACTCTATATGATGTTCAATGCCGATTCCAAGTGTAATATCTTTTGACCCTTACAGATCAATGAACTGCTTGAAGCTCAAAAGGCAGCAACTAAAGAGGTTAGAGTTTTCTGTGTTTTAGAGTAGTTTTCCACTTGAGAAAAGACGACCTAAACCATGATTTTTTATTTACTTAAGTGTTAATGGTCTTTTTGTAGATGGAAATTATGTTAAGGCACAATGAAAACCTGAAAGTTGTCGAAGAGGAGCATGAGCAGCTCAAGATTGCATTTGCGGAGCAGTCACAAAGGTACCTGTATTCGGAAGTTAGGTAAAGGAGTTGGGGAGAACAAAAGAATTCCGTCGGGGACGTGACAAAAACGTAGGTTTTGAAGCTTGCGGAACTCACAACGCTTAAGCTCTGACAGAACTAACAGTTTAAAGTGAAAGTAAAAGCAGGATCTTGTTAAGAGAGTATTACGCACCTTGATTTCTATTAAGGGCATTTACATTTGTTATACGCTTTGTGGTTCATATTGATGAACAGTGACTCACTCTCTTCTTCTGCATGCAAACTTACACCAGAACTTACTCTCTCTCTTTTTCAAACAACCCTCTTATACTTTTACCACTATACGTTTTTTATCAGTCGCTGAGAAGCTTGACTTTCGCCCTGTGTTCTCTTTTCAGACTGGAAACTAGTCAGCGGAGTCTTATGGCGGCTCAAGACGAGCACAAGGCACTATCGGACTTGAATGACATGTTAAGGCGGCACAACGATAACCTGAAAAGCCAACATGATTGGTAGTGTATCTTTACTCTTCATTAATGATTCTTATAAGGTTGTGATGCAAATCAAGTGTCGCTATTGAGAGGGAAGATCGCGAACAAAAGAAAAACAACAATATGCACTGAGCGCTGTTATTAACTTGTTGTTGTAGTATAGTAGGGATGTTTTAGACCCATTTTTGGGCAGGAATCTCGTTAAAGACGGCAGGAAGACATTAACGTCGATGATGTCATTGGCCACTTTGAGGTTGCGCTTTGGAGTGGGTCAGGACGGTTTGAAAGTGCATGGTGGGACTGTTTGGGGGACGCATTTTTCGTCCCCAAAACAGTCCCACAATGCACTTTGGCAACCATCTCGACCCGATCTCCAGCGCAACCTCAAAGTGGAAAATAGCCTCTTGTCTCTATCTCATGAATAAAATGCAGAGGAATATCATTAAGAAAAGGAGATGGGCTATTTTTAGGTGGGTTAGCCCGTTAAACAGGTTTTCTAGTTATTTCTAGCTCGATAATTGTCTTGCTTTTTAGAGGCACTCAATCACGAATTGTTAAATCGACGTTAAGGAATATTTGTCATTTATTTGGTTTATATGGGCAAATCGACGAATCGACGATTTGTTGTTGCGCTTGAAATAGTGTTATTCAGGACCCAGTTGTTCAAAAGGAGGATAACGCAACTGGTTTCACAAATAGTTATCCACCGGATAGTGATTTATCCGGTGGATATTAAACGCTATCCAACGTTTTAACAACCGGGACCAGCCCTTTAGAGAATTATATTTTTTTCTATAGTACAACCAAACAACTTCACGAACTCGAAACAGAGAGAAAAAAGGTTGTTCAGCAACTAAAGGAAAAGGACACCAAATGTCAAGGTACTGTTCTTGTGTTTTACTTTTCAAGCATTCATTGTTCAGCATGTATAGGGCAGGCTGAAACATTAGACGTTCATCAACAAGATGCCATGACTCTTACAGTTCGCTGACTCAAAAAACTTTGTTTGACTGTGATTTTGTAGAAATGAGTACCAGCGATATATTGCTGGGGGTAACTGTTGTTACAATATTAACTCCGTGTCCACTTTGGAGTGATTTTTTCGAAAATGCCAGGTCACGTCACACGTCATATTACATAAATGAAGTACCTTACAGAAACCACTAGGAGAATTGCTGATCAGGGGCATTGAAATTCTTGATGGCGAATGTACGTCATAAGCATAAAACCTAATATTGTTATAACTAAAATTCCTGTGTAAAATTAGGAATTGGTACGATTGTTATTTCCTTTTCGCTGTTACCCTTAGAGCTCCGGAAAACGCTTCAGAAACAAGAGGAAGAAACCAAACAACGTGAAAAGAACATAGATGATCTACAGAATACAAACGAATCCCTTAAACGTGATCTAGCTAAAGCAGATAAAGAGAGAAAGGAATTAGCACACAAGGTTAGTGTGGATGTTCTTTGTGCTTCAGGAACCATGGCTAAGGGTGTGAGAATGATTGCCAGTCGATACCCGGCTTAGCAAAGGAACTTTGTCGGGTGATAAAATGTTGGCCCTAAACTGTAAAAGAGAAATACTATTTTCTAAACGACGCACTATTTTAACAAAGTATTCTCGAAATTTTTCTTTAGTTATCTTATTGGGAGGAAAGAAGTGCCCAAGAAGTGACTGTTAAATGGTCTTACTTTCCTTCTTTTTTATCAGTATTTTGCAACTAATGCTTTTTTGCGCGACAAAGTGTATTCAATAAGGTGTATTTTTAGTTTGGGTATTTACCTATTTCGTACTCTTTTTGCCCTCTATACGTTGTACACTCTTGTTTTTACTGAGCTTTACGAACTCTGCTTCTTTTTATATACTGATTTGATGCGGTCAAAATTTACAGCGAGGGTTGTCCTTTTATAGACTTAAATACAAATGAATAATTCATGAATATAATCCAGGGAAATCTTTATTGTGAAGGAAAGTAGTTTTTGTTACTTATTTTATTAACAATTATGAACAATTTTCGATAGCGGTTTTAACCCACGCGTACTCCATTACTCCTAAGGGACCTCAAGATTCGACGAAGGCGACGGCAACGAGAACATTCGAGAACATCAAAAAGCAATAATAGGTTTATTGAGTAAAAAATACCTTTTACACGTCTTGCTTTGGTACATTTCTTGGCCGTCACCGCACGACTACGTAGTAAAAATGCCTAACTTCAACTTTTATGGAGGACTTAAACTAGCGAAGACGAAATTTTCTTTCTCTTTCTGAAATTGGATAAGGTTCTTAACAATTAAACTCTATGAAATTTCACCTACTTTTGACAAAGAAAGTGAGTTGGAATAATCGCGATGAAGGTTGAAAGAAAATACGACATTCACTTTTTTAGCTGTCGCCGCCGTGTTCGGATCTTAAGGTCCCTGTTACGTGAGGCTTACGGTAAACCCGCTTCTTACAACCGCCTACTTTCTTCTCTAAGACTGGAAACTAGTCAGCGGAGTCTTATGGCGGCTCAAGACGAGCACAAGGCACTATCGGACTTGAATGACATGTTAAGGCGGCACAACGATAACCTGAAAAGCCAACATGATTGGTAGTGTATCTTTACCCTTCAATAATGATTCTTATAAGGTTGTGATGCAAATCAAGTGTCGCTATTGAGAGGCAAGATCGCGCACAAAAGAAAAACAACAATATGCACTGAGCGCTGTTATGAACTTGGTGGAGCCTTTTTATGCGAGAAGTAGTATAGTTGGGATGCTTTAGACCCATTTTTGGGCAGGAATCTCATTAAGGAGGGCAGGAATACATTAACGACGATAATGTCATAGCCTTTGGTCTTTATCTCATGAATAAAATGCAGAGGAATTCATGAAGAAAAGGACACCCGTTGGATAGGTTTCTAGTTATTTTATAGCTCGATAACTGTCTTGCTTTTTAGGTCATGGATGACGTAGTCATTCCATGAGCTTTTGGAGGCACTCGATCACTCACTCACTCGACTGTCATTTATTTTTTCATTAAACTGGGATTAAACATTTGACTCCTTCTTCGCCTGCTAAGTATTGCTTTTGTTCCAAGGGCTTCATGCGCATATGTTAATGGAGCACTTTCCGTTTCCTTTTCCTTTTACATACTCCAAAATAAGTCTTTTTCACACCCGTTTTATCCAGTAAGAATTATTTTGGACAGTTTTTAATCTGTTAATTTCCCATTCTGCAGCATTTTTTTGCCCTTTGCGGTAAACGTGATTCAAAATCTCTGTTATGTCTGCAATCTATTAAGCCGCAAAATACCGAATACTTGCCGAGCAAAATAGGGGGAACGTCAGCGAAACCTTGGCGCTTAAAATAATGTTATTCAGGGCCCAGATGTTCGAAAGGAGAATAACGCAGTATTTTTCACAAATAGTTATCCACCGGATAGCGATTTATCCGGTGGATAGCGCTATCCAACGTTTGAACAACCGGGGCCAGCCCTTTAGAGAGTTTTATTTTTTTCTATAGTACAACCAAACAACTTCACGAACTCGAAACAGAGAGAAAAAAGGTTGTTCAGCAACTAAAGGAAAAGGACGCCAAATGTCAAGGTACCGTTCTTGTGTTTTACTTTTCAAGTATTCATTGATCAGCATGTATAGCGCAGGTTGAAACATTAGACGTTCATCGACAAGATGCTGTCATCATTCTTATGGTTCGCTGACTCGAAAAACTTTGCTTGGCAATGTTTTTGTGGAAATGAGTACCAGCGACATACTGCTGGTGGTAACTCTGTTGTTACAATGTTAACGGTCACGTCACACGTCAGTCATATTAGATAAATGAAGTACCTTACAGATACCACTTGGAGAATTGCTGATCAGGGGCAGTGAAATTCCAGATGGCAAATGTACGTCATGAGCATAAAACATATTGTTATAACTAAAATTCCTGTGTAAAATTAGGAATTGGTACGATTGTTATTTTCTTTTCGCTGTTACCCTTAGAGCTCCGGAAAACGCTTCAGAAACAAGAGGAAGAAACCAAGCAACGTGAAAAGAACATCGATGATCTACAGAATACAAACGAATCCCTTAAACGTGATCTAGCTAAAGCAGATAAAGAGAGAAAGGAATTAGCACACAAGGTTAGTGTGGGTGTTCTTTGTGCTTCAGGAACCGTGGCTAAGGGTGTGAGAATGATTGCCAGTCGATACCCGGCTTAGCAAAGGAACTTTATCGGGTGATAAAATATGGGCTATAAACTATAAAAGAGAAATACTATTTTCTAAACGACGCACTATTTTAACAAAGTATTCTCGAAATTTTTCTTTAGTTATCTTATTGGGAGGAAAGAAGTGCCCAAAAAATGACTGTTAAATGGTCTTACTTTCCTTCTTTTTTATCAGCATTTTGCAACTAATGCTTTTTTGCGCGACAAAGTGTATTCAATAAGGTGTATTTTTAGTTTGGGTACTTACCTATTTCGTACCCTTTTTGCCCTCTAAACGTTGTACACTCTTGTTTTTACTGAGCTTTACGAACTCTGCTTCTTTTTATATACTGATTTGATGCAGTCAAAATTTACAGCGAGGGTTGTCCTTTTATAGACTTAAATACAAATGAATAATTCATGATTATAATCCAGGGAAATCTTTATTGTGAAGGAAAGTAGTTTTTGTTACTTATTTAATTAACAATTATGAACAATTTCTGATAAAAGACATTTTAGCCGATGTCTTGTAACGGCGATAGCGGTCTTAACCCACGCGTACTTGATTTCTCCTAAGGGACCTCAATATTCGACGAAGGCGACGGCAACGAGAACTTTCGAGAACATCAAAAAAGCAATAATAGGTTTACTAAGTAAAAAATACCTTTTACACGTCTTGCAATTGCATCTGTACCACACTCGTTTGGTACATTTCTTGGCCGTCACCGCACGACTACGTAGTAAAAATGCCTAACTTCAACTTTTATGGAGGACTTAAACTAGCGAAGACGAAATTTTCTTTCTCTTTTTGAAATTGGATAAGGTTCTTAACAATTAAACTCTATGAAATTTCACCTACTTTTGACAAAGAAAGTGAGTTGGAATAATCGCGATGAAGGTTGAAAGAAAATACGAGATTCACTTTTTCAGCTGACGCCGCCGTGTTCGGATCTTAAGGTCCCTGTTACGTGTGGCTTACCGTAAACCCGCTTCTTACAACCGCCTACTTTCTTCTCTTCTATCTTCAGTTGTCATCGTTGGAACTTGTGTGTCAACAGAACGAGGACGTGATAAAGAAACGAGAAGTAGCAATCAAGGAACTGCAGTCTGAACTTGACCGACAGGCTCAAATCGCTGCCATGATCCACAATCTAAGCAGTGGAAAAGTACCGATCACTAATTTTGCCGGCAAATCCAGCTGACCCCGGTTTAATATGCTTTCTGTTTCTTTCTTTCTTTCTTTCCCCTCTTCCTACCCTGTCGTCTTTCTCTTTATTCAGGTTCTTTTTCTCGTCCTCCTCAGTATCATCGTCATCGCCGTTACCCCCGCATCATCATCATTGACATCATCCTGTGAACGAAGTTAAGCGATGAATGTCCGCTGCAGATCTTCTCTTTTATTGTCCCTTTTTGCAGCCAAAATTATCTTTCAATGCTACGCTTTCTTTCAGTTTTCTCACTAAACAGGTCAACGACCGAACAATAAGACTCTTTTCTAAGAAAACTTAGGTATTTTTTTGCTCATCTGACTTCAGATCTTCCACATAGAGCAACGGTCTGTTTTTTGGAAGGACTGTTCGTGGCACGTCCATGAAACAACTTTTTATATTAAATTCCAGTCTGATTAGAAAAATAGTAGACTCCTTGTAAATACCGTAGTAATTTATTTTTACCGTGACCTTTTGTAATTGAAAAAAAAATAATGCAAAGATTTCACAATGCTATAATTAAATTTACTCATCGATACCATTATTGTAGTACTGAGTACATTGTTGAGGCGCTCAGTGTAGTAAACCTTGGTGCACAGTTTTTAATGAAAATCCTTTGTATAAAAAGACAAATAAATGTCAATGACGGAAAGTATTCTGCTGTATTACTTTTGGCTTTGGGTCGTGGGATGCAACCATTTGAGTGGTCATGGCATCGACAGGATAACATCTTTGACGCATATTTTAATTGCATAATGCTGTCTCAATTGATAAGGTAAGATTTTTTTTGTACTTGAGTGATAGCAAGATCAAGCTACATCACCACTACCCCGGAAATCGAGCTATCATCAAATTAACGAAATTCTGGGTTTTAGAGCTAATGAAAATAACACAACATTTAAAATCGTTTTGTCAAGGTTTCATGTTGGGTTTGTGTAACGGCACACTGAAACGTACAACTTTGGAACAACTTTGTACTGTTTTGGCAGGGACGTTATCTTTGATGACATCGGTAAGTACTCGTGAGCTGTCGACAGCCGCCCGAGGAAATTCGGAGTACTCGTGCCCAGACCTCGGGTTATAATGTGTTTTTTGAAAGAGTTTTTAAAGATTTTTCAATAGGAAAAGAGTAAATCCGAGTTGAAAATTTAGTTTTCCACTTGAAAAACCTGACTTTAGGTTAATTAATTGTGTGCTACGATTGACACTTAAAGCGATTATATCGAGCAACGACTGTACACGAACAAATTTATATTGCGCGCGCTTTTTGTTTTACGTCCATTGATGACGCAAGAAGTTCAAAAAACAGTTTCGAGTTCAAACGTCTGCCTTACAGATAAAGCAAAGATGGGGTAGAAAAAAATTTGAGATGGAGTTGGTTTCGTAAAATTTGTTTTGTCTCGTTTCGTGGTTATGGGTTTAACCTGTCCTGCAGCAATTGTGACACTTTTTCTGTTGGAGTTAAGCTCCCTCTATCAAGGTAAGCTTGCGGCATTCATTTTGAACGCCACGATGATGATCACCTTTGTCGCGTTTGGAAGTTTGAATTTATCCCACAGGAGGTTACTAAAACAGGCAAATTCAAATAACTTTTTTACGTTAATGACATCCCAAGCCGATTGAGCTTTATTAACCTCGAAAATGTATTATTTCATATGTCCTCAGTTTTCAATAGCTTGCAGTTTTCACTTTAGCTTTAAACTTTTAAGCTCGTGTAAGACTTACAACTTGACTTATCGTTTTGAATCCATGTAGACCTACCTGCTGACTTGGGTACCATTCCAGTGGAAAATCATGAACTCGTTGTCTTTCAACCGTATTCACAAGGTGAGACTTTTCCTATCGCTTTTAATATTTTAAGAATGACTGCCACCTTACGGAAATTAATGCACCTGAATGCAGTCAAGGTTTTTACTTTGGAAATAACAAGGTCAGTTATTTATAGCGGGCTTAGCTTTTATGTCTCTACAGCCATTCTTCAGACATTGATTAAAAAATTAAGCGAATTTTTTTTCGGCGAAAAGAGCCAAGATTGAACTCCGTTGCAAATCGGAGAGTAAAAATAAGCTTAAATATGGATTTTAAAATCGCATGAAACGTATTGAGCGAAGCTTGAAGCTTCTTTGCAAGCAAGGATTTAAAGAAGTAGAGAATTATATGGCGTCTTTTGTACATTTGATGTGTCAGAATTTGAATCTTTTAGATGTTACTCTACTCTTGAGTGGCTGTAAGTACCACCACCAACAAGCCTAGGGATTGTAAAGCATGCCATGCTTGCCGTTTCTTTATTATATCTTTCGCCGGGATGAGAGTGCTCATTAGCACTAAAAATAAATACCATAAATACATAACAAGTTGTGGAATTGTTAATGATAAATTTCTTGCGATAGTTCATTCTTACACATCTGCTATTTCCGTTTACTTGAATAAAGAATCTGTAAAGGAGAGACACTTAGAAAATCTCCCGGTGTGAAAGTCGAAAGACATTTGGGGTTTTGTTATATCTGGAACAGTGCCAAAAGCTGCGGTATAACTGCGCATCCGTTTGCACACTCTTTAATGTCACAAAATATGAGAATCTGATGTCGAATAATTTCCGTAGAGTGGCTGTTCTGAACAAAATATCAATTGTAAACTAAAGCTACAAAGCAAAGGATTTCCCTAAAAAAATTGGGGGGCATACATGTGCTTAAATTTCTCCAGAGGCTTGCTTGAGATTTTCCATATATTTGTCTCCAATTTTCCCGGGACTTTCTTACAGGCAAATGTATAGAAAATTTTAAAAAGTGGTTCTAGGTCTTCTAGTGCATGTAAGGCCCTCAAACTTTTTCAGGAGAATCCTCAGGAGTGAAGCTTTAGTTTACAAATCAAATTTTTTTCAGAACAGCCGTTCTATGGAAATTATTCGACATTAGATTCTCATACAAGCACTGTAATTTCTCATGCGTTTGTCTACTTGTCAAGATGGCGTCGGAAACCGTGACAAGGTCTATTATTTTTGGGAAAATGCTGTTAGCAAAAGCGAAAAAGCATATAAAAATTAGATATTAAACTGTAAATTTTCAGCAGTAAATATCAAAAATAGCGATTGCAACGGCCATTGAAAGTCACAAGGATTTGTATGGAAAAAACAACTCTTGCCATTCAGTCACGGTTGAGGAGTTCTCCATACTAATTTTTTTTAAAATTTTTAAATTCAAACTGTTGTTAATTTTTTCCCTTCTGCATTACACGGCTCAAAGGGCTCTGCATGTTAAGAACCAGAAAATTAAAGCCCCGTAATGCTTAAGGAAAGATTTTGAGACAGTTTGAAATTGAGAAGTATTTGTATGACTGGGTGGCAGGAGTTGTTTTTCCCCTACAAATTTTTATAATTTTCACTAGGCCATTGAAATCACTACTCTTGAGATATAGGGCTAAATATATACAGGTTACCTAATTTTAATATGCTCTCTCAGTTTCTGAAAACTTCATTTTTCTTTGCATAAACAAGAAGTTGATGATCTTACAAAATGCCTATCGTGATAGAAAACTTGACCTGGGTAAATACAAAAAATGCTTCAGAAGCAAAATAATTTGCAATTAATGAAATTCTGAGAGAAATGAACACTGTTGTAAATTGAACCCAGCATTGGTCATTTTAAAGTCATTTTTTTTCCCAAATTATTCACTAAAAAGCCTGGATCACATAAACAGTTATAATCAGTTGGATAAAATAATGCTAAATTGGATTTCATTGTAGCAAAATAATATTTTATTTTGCATTGATGGTAACAATTAGTAGACTCATTTAATGTGACATTCATTTGCTTTTATTAAGGTTCTGTAATTGCTTCCAACTTTGATAATGTACACATCTTGCATGTGCAAGAGGATCCAGCCTACAATCCATACTTCGGTCTTGATGGTCAATCAAGTATGCTAAACAGCAAAGTATATTTGAATCTCTCCCAGGTAAATCAGTATATCAGGTTAGCACTTATCTATTAGTTGAGAACCTTTGTCCTTTGCTGACTCCAAAATTTTTTCCCCTCCCTCTCTAAAGAAAGTTGTGTTGCGGTTTGAGCTACCCATGGGAAACAACAATTGCCTCAACTTTCATGCAGTACTCAAAGCTGTGCTCTAGGAGTGCCTTGTAGCCCCTGGTGCCAAACTTTTGCTCCAGGCCAGGGTGACTAAAAAATAGACTTTTTTCATAGAAATCATATGCTGGGCACCCTGGATGTCTTAGGTTTGGCTAGAGTGCTGGGCTAGCTTCTTTCAGTTTTTCTAAGAACCCCATTTGAGTACACCTAGTGTCTCAACAATTTTGTGAATGACCGTAATTTCCTGCTATTTTTTACTGTACATGTATATTTTTTAGCAGAACTGCTTTCATCGCTTAATTCCCCTGAAAGGTGTTATGAACAACCCTTAAATGTAACACATTGAGACCCTGGTGTGGGTAAATGTAGTGTTTGTTGAACTTTTGTCAAAGAAGTCAGCCATTGGACTCTCACTATAATGTTAACCCTTGGACATACATGCAAATTCAAACCCCCACCGTGCTACAAGGGGGGGTGGGGGTGGATGGTCCTCCACTTGAGTTCTTGATATGTTGCATTATTTGAAAACGATTTTGCCTTCAGTGGAAAGCCTTTGATCTTCTCTACAAGTTGATGAGGTATATTTTATGGGTGGTGGCACTGCTGGGGGCCTGTGATGTCACCAACAATGGTTGCCATCTTGGCCGCCATCTTGGAATTTACCAAGAATTAGTAATCATGTTAAAACCGCGAGAAATGGTGATGTTTTGTGCTTGACATAAAAAATAACACATAAACAAGCACTTTGCATGATTTTAGCCACAAGATTTACTTTTATTGTTGAAAAAACATGTACTTTCACTCAAAAATGGCTTGACCACCTCCTCCTTATAGTGTCATATCTCATAACCATAGAAACTGACAATTACTGAACTTGACTCAAAATGCGCGTGAGGGATGAACGGACAGCTACTGAAAAACTCAGATGCTGCTGTTTTATCCGCTAGGAGAAAACTCAGAAAACCTTATGGGTTGGCATCCACCCCTCTTGTATGCCCAAGGGTTAAAGATCTTATTTGTAATTTAATTAGTATAAAATTTTATGGTTGTAAAAATGAACTCCATAAAAGAGTGGTGAGTGTTCTTATATTGGGTCGAAGTACCAGAAACTACAATCAGTTTACCTTCATATACCTGAGCAATGGAAGCTTCTTTTGAAATTGTTTGAAATTACTCAGATTTTCAAGATTTGTGTCCATGATCTTTAGAAAAAGTTGTTTTGGAAAGATTTTAGTGCTGTGTGAATGTCTATAACCTTGTATCGTATAAATAAGGTATTTGCTGCCATTTCATTCTCCAGTTGAATTAGTATAATTTGTTTTCCTAACAGACCAACACTGGCACGTTTTTAATGGCAGTCAACAAGCAAAACCAACCACAAGTGAAA